AGCTCAACCACAAATCCTCTTTTATAACAAAGCCCAACTTTGCGTATTTCTCTAGCATAACCATATTAATATATCTTTGATAATCTTTTGAACACCATATGACCTCTTTCTCAACACCCGAATCCTTTTGATAAAAATAACCAGCAATTATATTCCATCTGAATCACTCAAATCAGCAACTGATACCAAATAATCTCTCATCTCTGCCGATTTTTGATAATAAATGAATGTAATATATTCATCTTTCTCAACACCGATTCATTTTCATAACTGGCACCAGCATTACTAGTATTACCTATATCGATATCTGCAGATTTCTGATACAGTAAGCAAACTACATCGTGGCCTCTTAGTGTTAATGCTATATGGCACCATTTCTAATGATTTATTCAAATCTGTAAGCGATTCTTCATATTTTTCACACATAATAAGTATCTCTGCGACTTTTTAACGCTTCTGCGTTACTTGGTTCAAACTATTCCAATTTATTTGAATCTTCAAGTGATTTTTTATATTTACTAATTATCCCTACGACATCCTAATGTACTTGCATTAGTGATTCTAACAGTTTCAAGTGGTTCTTCATATTCTTTTATGAATCTGTTGCGATTATCAACTATTCATCCTTTTCTATTCCAATTCTATTCTACAACACAGCGCAAGATGTTCTAAGAGTATGACCTATCGCTCATATTCGCAAAATTTGGATAATACATGAATGTCTTACAGTCATCCTTTAACATCTATTTTATTATTTACTGGAATCCTCTTTGGAGGATTTAAGATAGACATCCAGAACTGTTATTTGCTTTTGTTATAGTTCATAATTTTATTACTATTATTTAGTTATAACGGTTCACATTTCCAGAAGGAACACCATAAAGCTCTACAAAGTTAAGAATTATTATTATGTTTAATTATAATTCATTGAAATTCAGTTTATCTCCGACGGCACCTTGATGCCGTAGGAGAATAAACTGAGTTCAAAATTAGACAAAATTATATTTTTAGAATTTGTGCTAAAGTTTATTTGGAATATAGAACTAATGAAATTAAAGCCCGAATAGGTTCAATTCCAATCTCAATTCCAATTAAAAAATTTTAAACAAAATATTTCAGCAACTGCCAGATTAAATTTAATAAAAAATTTTATTTAATTCTATGGATCATTGTGATTTTATTTAATTCTATGGACCATTAGGATTTGAATATCAGATATCTTTAGTTTCTTAACAAGCGAGTTAAAGATTTTGTTCTTATGACAATTTTTCTTCGACATAGTCAAGAGAAAAATATAAATCTGTTGCGATTACTAAAAGAAGAGCCAGTTCTTTGTGTCGGGTGATGAATATTGTGCTATTTCATTGTATACTATTACAGGGCAGGTCTCTTGGCAAAGCTACCCCGTGACTTCTTCGTTCACGTGCAGCCCATAATTTGATAATAAAACACAATTTTTAAAAAAAGATACTTCAAAGGTTTTTAGTGCAGGAGTTAAAAAAAGTAACCCAGGTTAAAGTTTGAGGTAATAAAAGGTGTTTTTAATATATAAAGAAGACTAGTTAAGTTGTAAAGTATAAATGTTAATTTGAAGGAAAGTTCGCAATTTTTTATAAAACATATAGATCATCGTATTATTTCATATGTGCTGCAACTTGCAGATCCACTAATTAAATCATTACCCTGAAAATTTTCAGACATTTCACTTGACCGTTAATACGTAATTTATTAACGTTTAAAAGAAGAACGAGGCAAATATAAATACAGTATTATTGGGTTATTGACAAATTTTTGTCTGTACAAAAAATTATACTGTCAAAAGAATGGAGCAGGTTGACATGTTAATCTTATTGGAGGTCCTTATTCCGTTAATGGAGCGGTCGAAAAATCAACAAATTTAAAAATGTTGAGTTTATTATTACCAGACTAAAAAAAGCATGAATCTGATGAATGAGGAATAACCGTCAAAAGAAAGTTATGAGAATGAACGTCAGTTAAACATTATTTTCAGGGCCATTATTTTTGGAAAAAATTGGTTAAATCTGTAGAAAAGCATCGGACATGTGGAAATTTGCCAATTAGTAAGCAGCTTGGTGATACAAGGCGTGTTTTTACTATAATTTCAAATCAGCACCTCAAAAAAAGATCAATGAATTCGTTTCTATCAGGTTTGAGATAACGCATCAGATTATCACATAATTGCTTTTGATCTTGGTGTAGAGAATTGACGGAGAAAAATCAAAACATTTATAACCTTATTCGAGAATTCACAACGATCTCGACCAAGGAATTAATGAAGGAAATCATAAAGACGCATTTCAGTTTGGACATACATTTTACTCAATTATTGATAATTTTTTTCAGGTTTATATTAATCGATGAAGATGTTATGCATGTTTGTCAAAGCCAAATATTAGAGAAGAAATACTGTAGAACACTCTTTTGAAATCGAGAAGTTTTTATTTTGGGGTTTTAAAAAGATTCGATAAATATTTTCTGTCAAGCAAGAAACGTTATCTTGAAGTGTCAGATTATTCGATGATCTGTTCGAGTACTATCATTAAACCGAAAATGGCTGAAGCTGGAAATTAGGTACTTCGATTTAAAAATATAAGCTCTATAAAAATCCACTCATACCATAAATCCTAACCAACTATTGAAAATTTCATATTAAAAGATTTAAAATTTCCAGCTTCAGTCATTTCTAACTTCAGCCGTGACAATCATTATATATCGAAAATATCAAAAACTTTTCCTATTGTTATAAGTTTCAGACAAAATCAATACTTGGTCGATACAAGCTTGGTGTAGAAATATCGTAGGATCAACCAACTGCGAAATTCAACAATTATGTTGCAATGATCGAATCTGCGAGTTTGCATAAAAGATCGAATTTGTAAGATTTTCGAGGAAAGCGAGAAAAACCGAGTTTTCAAAAAATTTATAATCGCTCTCGTGGGATTCAATAGGAATAGCTTCGTGATCAGAATATCGAAATGGAAGCGTAAGACGTGTTACATAAAGGTTTGCAACTTTGCATAAAGATATTTATAATAATTTGGAGGGAAGCAAATTAAATGATTTAATGAATCAGAGGTTAAAATAACTCAAGACGCTTTTATCCAATGACATGTATTTCTTAGAAGGGTTTACGCGAAAAAGATTGTCAGACAGCTTTTTACGGCATCAACATTTATGACAAATATTTGGAGTTAACAAAAAAGGTCATTCCTCACAATATTAATAACTCGATGTGTTTCCGACTTCCAAGGGTCAGTTTTCACGTTTCTTAACTTTATTTTCTAATTTAATGTTTTTACAAACGATGTGATTTGTTATTTAAGATTAAAAGTTGAAATCATTTCTAAATTAAAGTCAACTTTAATCGTTTAATGTGGTGTTATGTTACTATGACTTTTTTTACTAAAAATGTAACCAATCAAAAGTCTACGTACATCATGTCACAGAGAAAATTGAAAGTCACGATCGGTTGGGAGAGTAACTCATGCACAGTTTAGCTTCAGTCGTAACTATAGATTGAACTTTATAATATCTTTATTTAATTGGGTGAGACATGACTAATAATAATAGTTGGAAATTAACGAGATATTTATCGTATTACTGTGTCAATTAATTGTCTATCGGAAGCTCCTCCACTTTATTAATTATGTCCTTTGGGAGATTTTGACAATCCCCCACAGCCTAACGTAACAGTAGTAAATTTAATTATTAATTTCACAGAGTTAAAGTGTGTACGTATTCGGACAATAATCAATTTGATTGTACAATGACATTTCAAGTTGTAAAAAAAGAAATAATGATTCGATTGATGAACCAAAGCTTGTATTTTTAAAATGTGTTATTAATAATATAATTTAATCTTATAATTTTGTTTGCTACTGGTTAATGTTTCTTTTCCGCAAAACAAACAAAAGAGTAGAATGCTCAGAATAAAGGGTCATATCACTGTAGAGATAAAATCTGAGATCTGTCGCAGTAACGGGGTGACAACATCAATATCCTTAAAATCTTACGCAATCTGCCGTTTATTTCAAACGTAAAGGAAGTCGAAAATCAAAAATTGTTTTGAGTTGATGATTAACAGTTTACTTTGATTTTAACCTTTACAGGATTTATTATTTTTTTAATAAGATACAGTAACTAACCAAATTCTTATTAACAGTCGTAGACAAAATTGCACAAGTTTATTTAAGTGTAAAAACTTTAATATAAAGAAAATAAGCTTTATAATGAGTTTAATACCTTAAGATATTTACATTATAACTAATGATTAACCTTGCAACATAATTGTGAAAACAAGTTTTAAGATATCCATCTTAAAGTAAAAAGTTGAGTTAATCATCTTTTTTGGTAAACACAGAAAATTCAAATACATTCTCCCCGTATTTATTCTTGACAAAGTCGCTGTCACCAAACTCTTCTAAGAAACCAAGGAGCCTTTGCTGGACCTCTCTCTCTTCCCCAGAGCGGTCTTGATTGTCTTTATCGAATCCCAATTCTCTGTATTCTTCATCAGATTTTCTTGAGACACTACTGAGATCAGATACTCCTTTAGACTCCAAGAATTCCATGAGATCTTTTGCTTTCTCTTCTTCATAGCATTCTTTAAAGATTTCCGTAATATTTTCGAGATTGCTTGTATAATAAATCTTGACCTTTTTATCATTTCTCAATACTTCTGTGCGGAAAGCCCTGGTGCAGGTGTCGTTCACATAGATCCCGGCAAAGCATTTTTCATGCTTGCAGGCGTCATTGATGAGCTGAGTGATATTTTCCATATCGTCATTATCACTTTCGTCTTTGATAGTTACTAAATAGTAAACGTTTCGAAAACACTCAACAGTTCTCATGGTTGCTTGATTCGTGACAGACGCAAAAAAAAAAATTGAATCACGTTTTGATAAAGAAAATGCTACACAAACGACCTTGTTTTGGTAAAAAAGCGCCAATCTAATGTAATACAAATCGTGCTAAATTACGCAATTTACGTAAATTACGTATAAGATGATATAACAGATAATAATAACGATAATAAAATCCCGATTTCCTCATATCACACGTAAAAAAACTTGTGCTAGGTTTTATCGACACCGGACTGCATTAAACAGATTTTGAGGTTAAAGTTTAGTCTAGGTTATAGTTAGATGAGAATTTAATGTAAGGTTTATGCCAAAATTGTGAGAAATTTTTTCGTAAGCAAAATTTTTGAGATAGAATATTTTTTTCATTTTGTTGATCGTGATCGACAATCAAATTTCGAGATCAGGTGTAATAAAATGAAAGATTTAAAGTAATAAAACCTTGATATTTTGGTTGGTTTTAGTGTGAGGACATAGTTTATATCAAAATTCGGCGGGGAATTTATTTTTTGTTAGAACACGAAAGGTAGTTTCATAGCAAGATTTTGATTTTTCAAAAAATTGGTTTATTTCAAGTTACACCGATCTCGAAATCTAATTGGTTGAACAGAAATTCAACCCGTCAATGGTTTTAATTGATATTCGTATCAATTCCAACTATAATTCGATTTGTTAGTTAAGACTACAAGTTTATCCATTTCGTCACCAAATCATGTCGGATTTGCACAATCTATCAATTATAATTCCAGTTAAAATTGTCGATTATGGGTTCTTTCATTTATTAGCGTACGTACGTACGTACGTACGTACGTATCGGTAACTGTATATACGTACATAGTATAAGCCCGTTTTTGGAAACAGATACAGATCTTGTATAATAATGTGGATTGAATTTTCTATACTGTAACGTAGCCATTTTCATTACGTACGAACCTACCGTAAATTACCGTGCAAAATACCCGGGTATGCTATAATCTAAAAATAGCCAAAACAGGTTTTTTCCGGAAAATAGCCAATAGAATTACGCTAAACTTGAAATATACCCGGGTACAAATCACGGGGATATTTTGCACGGGGGTATTTTGCACAGTAATTTACGGTACGTATTTACAAACAAAAATGACAAACCATTTAACCCATATTTCTATTCAACAGTTTGAAATTATTATTAAGTTAATATATATATTTTTATTGATATACAAAGTATATAGAAAAAACTAACAGCTAATTAAAATCTAAACAAATTTACCCATTTAATTGAAACAAATGCTAATTGGCTTCGTTTACATTTTGATGATATTTATCAAAAAAGTTTTCAACATAAACAACTTCAAAATTTACAACAATGGTGCAATGATTTTTTGGTAAAATATCCAATCAAGATTTTTGACTCTAAGGACTTTCTATCACTTCAAGAAAACAGTTTAACCTCTCTAATTAAACGAGATGACTTACAAATGGATGAATTAAAATTTTGGAATTATATTATTAAATGGGGATCGTTCAAAATCAAGATTTATTATCTGGTGATCCTGAAAACTGGACTAGTGAAAACTCTTTAGTTTCAAAAAATACATTAAAAAATTGTTTAGCTAATATTCGCAAATAGCTAGTAATGATATTGTTGATAATTTGCTTCCATATTATCAAATTTAGATAAAAATCTCTGGAATGACATATTGAAAAGAGCAATAAATCCAAATCGACAGATATCATCATCCATTCTTCCACCTCGTGTAATTTTGACGCAAAAATTACCATCACGTACGACAGATCCATTTTCAATGGTTATTGAAGAAGATAAAGTGCATGCTGCAGAAATTGCAACATGGGTTGATAAGAGAAACATAAATCAAACTTGTTAAAAAGCTACACAGTTTATTAGATGAAAATGGTGATATTGTCGATGACGAACTAACAGAAGTGGAGAATAAATACAAAAATTATTCAAAATTGATAGAGGATAATTCTGATTTAATTATTGATAATAAAATTGACCAGTCTAAAATAGACAAGCTTAAAGAGGCTGAAGAAGATGCGTTAAATGCTATTGAGCTTTTAGATGTAACTAACTTAAAAACTGAAACATTAAAAAATAAATTAGGAAAAAGCAAATTATCTAATATTAAAACAACCTTACAGACCTGCTGAAAAAAAATAAAGAACTAAGGAAGAAATTAGAAACTAAATCGAATTTAATAGAATTTTGGACGAGAAAAGCAGAATCA